AAGTTCGGACATACTTAAACTGAATCACCAAGAAAAAAATAGGGCTATTTCTGAAAATAGGAAACTTGCCTATAGGAGTTTTCTGTTTGTGGTAGATAATCTTTATATATTTGTAAAGATTCTAAGATATTAAAATGTGTGTGTGTGTGTGTGTGTGTGTGTGTGTAACTTATATTTTCTATAAATATTTATAGTTACAATAAAATTTTAAAAATCATCTTATCTGCCAATAAAATATTCATTTTTGTTTTTATGTCTTTAGTGTGTCCTGCCAACCCCAGCTTTCAGTCCCATTTCTTATTGGAGTTACAGCAATTCCATGGCCCTTCAACAGTGCATTTTCCATTTTTCTTTCAAATTAACAAATAAATCTACAGTAAATTTGAACACCATCTTGAAGAATATGTTTGTTGCTGTTCCCAGGGCTCAAGAAACAAAACCACCAACTTCATGCTTTGAAGATAAAAATACAGCTGTGGAGAAGGGATGCAGTTCATGAGCTGATATCACTAGACATGACAATAAAGTAGTAGATAATACACTTTCCCCATGTGTATTTGCCTTGCCACAATATAAATTAGTTGCATGGTTCCTGAGTTAATAGTCATATCCTGTAAATTGTATATGTTCGGGCAAGGAGCTAAAGAATATGTGTACATGCATGTGTGTGTGTGAGTGCATGCACACAGACACACTTTCCTTCTCATAAATATTTGAGAAATACTGCATTTTGGCTCACTTAAACAATTGTTGGTGTCTTCCAGTTGCAAATGGCAATTCAATCTTTTGTGAAGCATAAACATATATAATTTCAAACAGGCATTTTATTTTTTCAGCAGAAAAAAAGTGGAATTCTGGTTTTGTTTGGTTTATCTATGACCCACAATAGAAAATTGACTTTGCATAGCTACTGGTTTTAATATCCCCTTTGAAAATTTAAAAAAGCAGATAAGTTGGGAATAAGTTGGAGAAAGTACTGGATATATGATAAAAGTATAGGTCTGATGAATATTCATGCTTAATGCAAATAGGCCTTAATAATATTCTTTCAGACAAACACAGAAGCTCATTCTTTGAACAAAGCACTTCTTGAAGCAAAGTGAAATGATACTAAGATTTTAACCATAGGCCCACACACTATCAAACAAAGCATTATTCCGGAAGTTTCCATTCTGGAATTAACATTATAAGAAAATGACTAGATAAACTTATTAAATCTATATATGTCAGTACAATTATATCTAAGTTGCCAATTTAACCTCTGACCTGTTACTAATTTAAGAACATTATAAGCTTATTAATTGCATATTCTCACTAAGATTTTCTAAATGTTGATAGAAGTTATATTATTTTACATATTCATTATTTTGTAAGGTTCTTTACAAGAATAAGCAATGTTTGTAATAAGCATAATAAGCTGGTGTCTGAATGGAAAGAGCTAAAAAATGAAGTAGAAAAATAAGAAATGGAATGTCTTATTTTTTTTTAAACCGTTTTGCAATAATTGGTCCACATATTGAAAATAGGGAATTTCTTTCATTTGTTTTCTTTAAAAAATCATTTCTAAGTTGCCATATATTTATAAATCTCAAGAGAAATACGCTCAATAAAACTAATTCAGAAAACAAACCATAAACATGAAAGTCTGTAAGCATGAAATAGCCAAAATAATCATCAGCATGGAATAATGCATGAAAAGAAAATGCTGCTAATCTTCACTAACAAAGATCTCAAAAATCTACATGGTTTTGACCAAGAACAAGACCAAAACCAATTTTGGTCCAAGTAGATATTTGGGGAAGAATTTTATAGAAAAGGTATTCAAGCCCAAGTGTGTTTTTCCATACCAGTGGTTCTCAATCTTCACCATGAACTCCTTTTAAGTTTTTTTTGTGGCCATGAATGATGGCCACGGGACCCCAAGAAAGACTTAACAATAGATTAAATCATAACATTTCTTCAAGCCCTTGAGGAGTTCCCCAGGGCTCTGCTCACCACAGGTTAAGAACCACTGTCCTACACAATGTACAGTTCCCACTATTAGTAATGAAGCTGTATAAATTTTCAAAAGAAATGTTTCAAAGTTTGTGAAAGCAGATATGAAGCACCTCTCTTTGAATCAACCAATTAGCTGAATTCTTTTCCATGGTTGCATGGCTGATTTGTAAACTGATCTTGGCTGTATGTGTTAAGGTATTGATTTAATAGCTGACCAGCTGTTGTAAGGCTGCAGTAAATGCTGATGCAATAAAAATGAATTAGCAGAGTATTGCCACTTTAAGATTGAGGATGGGTCCACAGGATTTTGCCGTTTTAAGAAGCTGTCTATATATAGACGGTCATGAGAGGGCATGTTCCTTTTTCTCTTCGTGTTCTATCTTCATTGTAGAATACTCCATGTTGAGTAATGGAGACTGATTGCCTGCCAGGTATTTGTCTACCATGCCTATGTATGTATATAGCTGTCTTGTTCATAAGCCACTGTTAAAAGACAAAGCCTCTGTGTGCTGTGTGTTGCTCCTGGGTTGTCTCTCAATAGTAGTCATGCTGTAAACATTCTGACAGTATGCACATGCATGTATAGCCATTCACCTTTCCTGGGGGAAAAGTGGAGCAATGAGATTTCAGAGAAGCTTCTAGTCCTATCATTGTTTTTTTTTAAAAAGGCATGTTTATTGTCTCAGAGAAGTGCTTTGTGCAAGCATGTACCTTGTAAAGCACTTATTTTCTTAATGTTTGCAGAACACTAATTGCCACCCAGAAAAGAAGCCCCTCAGAACATATTTAGGCAGAGGGGCAGAAAGGTTGGTGAAAAGGTTCTTTACACTTTTTTATAAAAGACATAGAATAAATTGGAACAATATATGTGGATGTGTTAATTTTGTGGGTCAGTCCTTCCATTTCTGTGTTGTACCCGTTACAGAGCTTATTCTAGACCAGTGGCTCTCCAAGTGTAGTTAGGGGACCTTTTCAAGGGGCCACAAAGTCAAATATTTTAACATATCTCCATTTTAACTTCTAATACACAACTTATTGATAGCTATAACCTACAAAAATCAAAGCTCTTTGTGGTTCTCAATCATTTTTAAGAATGTAAAGCTGTCTGAAAAAATATTTGGAAACCACTAGAGTTTTCATTGCCATTTCATGAAACCCAGGCTGTTCATTTTTCGCAATAGAGGAAACATGCTTTCTGCTGACACAAGAGTTCTATTCCTGATCAATAAATTCCAAAATCAATCACTAGTACAGATACTAGTATTCCATGTCCAAGTAATAATTACTGAGCGGCCACATTTTGCACTGGTTGCAGTTTTTGTGTTATCAATAACAGTAGCTCCATGTTCTGTTTTCTAATATTTTGTGTGATGTTTGTGTTTTGTATGTATATATTCAAACATATACATACACACAAATATAGAAGGACAAAGCTAAACAAAAATACAAGTTAAAATAATTTCAAGTGCAAGTGTATGATTTCACAAACCTTCATATTTGTTTTTGCTGTTGTTTTTGAATATTGCTGTGCCTACCATATTTAATCTCTTTCCCAATCTTTTCTCAAATATTAATAAATATTTTATCAATCTATTTGTTCATGTACATAAAAATATCTCTTGAATGTTTTTGGACTGACTGAATATTCTACACCTATGTAAGAACTGGGAACTAGGGGATGCTACAACATTCATTGTATTAAAAATACATTTCTGCATATGCCGTTTAGAAAAATTGTTTTGGTAGATAAGTTAGTAAGATGAGTAAACCTGTATAGTAATGATGATGGTCTTCCTGGAGTATGTTTGTTCTGTTGACATCACATGAATGAATAATTATTATTTTAATAATTTATGTCTCTAATGATTGAAGAGAGAACTTCCAGACCTAGAAATGGCACTTCCAAAACTGATATTGCCAATTACATTTGTAATATGAGTGTAATGTTTCAAATATCTCATATTTAATTGACTTTTTTTGTTTTACTTTAAAGATTCTCAATAAACATTAAATTCACTATGAGGTAAATTCTGCAAAGTGATTGATAATATATTTAATAATCAGAACTCACAAAGATTCTCAAATTTTCAGTCTGGGTTTGTTTGAGAAAGAGCCAAATATGTTGATCATCCTTGTATATAGGCTAATGTACACATATAAACATTGACATATACACATAAATGTACATAAATTGTACAGCTGTTTAGATTCAATGAGACATTGTTTTTTTGAGTGTTCAGGATGCTTATCTAACACCAGTTGGCAACTTCTTTAAGTTACTGCCTCTTTTGCTCAGATTGTGCAGCTGCCCTGCCCTGCACAACTCGTGCCCTATCTACATTAAGAACTAAGTGACAGATGCTACATTTATGTCTTCTGCACTCTAAAACTCTTCAAAGCCAAAGCACTGCATGGTGTGTGTGTGTGTTTGTGTGTGTGTGTGTGTGAGAGAGAGAGAGAGTGAGAGAGAGAGAGAGAGAGGGAGAGAGACAAGGGAGGAAGGGGTAGAGAGAATGTGAATACCATTAAAATAATACACAGAAATAGATGATTCCAACAGGAATTTTTCCTTACTCATCTGTGAAGGTATGTCATATGTCAGGTACATAGCGTGATGCAACCATATAGGAATGAAAAGAACATACATGTTTATTTTATTTAGTTGATTTTGATGCTGCCTGGGTTCAAACAACTCTTCCTTTATTGCCATCCGTCATTCCTCATACTTTAATTCAAATTTACCTTGTGAAAGAAACTTAGTAACTTCTATTTGCCAAAATAATTGATTAAAATCATATATTTATATGGTATTTTCAGATCTTTATTTTTCTAATATTCAGTATAAAAACAAAACAACAAAAATATCAATTTGTGTATTAGAAGGATTTCTTTAAGATTGAAAATTCCCATCATGTAGGAAGTATCTACATAGTGAATATATCTAATATGCTTAATGTGTATAGCTAGTGTAATTTTAATGGGATCTGTTATGTTTGTTTTAGGGTCGATCCTATTCCATACGACACCCCGAAACCAGCAGGCCACACACGGTTTGTCTGCATCTCAGATACACACTCCAGAACAGATGGAGTCCAGATGCCTTATGGGGACATCTTGCTTCATACAGGCGATTTTACTGAGTTGGGACTACCCTCTGAGGTCAAGAAGTTTAATGATTGGTTAGGTAAGAAATCACTGCATTTTGATGACCCAAATTAACCTTTGCTTTCCAAGTGTCACTTACAACCTCCTAATTGTGTTAGAGCTTTGAAAAGCATTCACCTTACAACCTTGTCATCTTGTTATATACCCGGTGCAAACAAAATATGATTCTGTTAATTAATGTGGATTTACATGCCTGATCTTGTATTTTCACCAACATAACCTTTGCCTTTTGGCATCCCATGTTGACAAAGGCTGAATAATTACCTGACCTAAAGCATACCTGAATTTTAGACCTTTGCAAAGAAGGAATAATAAAAATATAACAGCTTTTTCTACTGTACTCAGTACTAAATATGGTTTGAAAAGGACTGTGAATATCAGAATAACACTAGGAGATAGATATCTATTTCAGATAAAGGGATACAGGCATAATATCTTGATAACTGAAGGCTATTCTACATATAGTCTTAAAGGAGCAAGGTATATGTTTGCAGGGCTGAATTTTATTAAGCATTTCCTAATAGGCTATTAGTTAGTGGGCCATTAATAAGTTGATATAAGGGTTCAACAAGAAACACAAGAGACAAAAAAGGCATATGTATCACCGGCCTACTTAAAATTTGAGGGCTGTGGTGTAGAATTAGAAAATTTGGGGAAGTTATCTAGAAAAGAAAGAACTGAATAGCATGAAGATTAAAATGGAAATATGACACTAGGAAAAATAATTGTTCTAAATATTCTTGTGTAAATAAAATTGCATAATTATATGAAATTTCTTTTAGAGCATATCTGTTACATTTTTACATAGATCTCTTGTACCTATGATACATGATGATAAAACCGATAATACATATATGTTGTGTTGTTACAATGCAGTCCTACCATTTTGTACCTCAACATCAACTGAAAGTATTCAGATGTGAGATTTGTGGTTGTGATGTCACAAAGCACATTTCATTACTCCTCCTCCCTGAGAGGTGGTCTCAGTGCTCCTCTACAATTTTGTATAGTGACCAGGCTTCTAAAGATCTGTAATGACATTTTTCAGATTGTCTTGGAAAGCCCTTGGAAAATGAAATAAATTATTCATCAAAGAATTTTTACAGCTGAAAAATTACAGAATTTACAGAATTTTTTTGTAGGGAAAAAAGAAATATATTTGGATGAATGGTTTAACCTTTTCAGAATCCATTCCAATTTATGTGTTTAAAGCAATTTGATCCTGAATTGTTTCTGCGGTTCATTGCAATAAGACATTGTTACTCTTCACAGCTGCAGGCTGAAAAAAGTAATTAATCTTCCCATCATCTCCAAGATTCTTCAAAGCAGGAGTAAGCTTCTGTGCTGTTTCTTCACAGATTCATAGGCTATATTTAGTCTGATTCATATCAAACTGGCAAATAACCCTGTTTACTAAAATATAACTCATGCTTTGATCTAAAAAGTTTACAGTGTGGTTTTGTAAATCATTTAAAACCCACCACAAAATAAATTAGGTAAATAGTAGTCTGCAAGAAGTTAGCAGAGACAGTGCCCACCTTGCAAAAAGCACCAAACAAAACAAAAGCAGAATTATGAATGAGTAGAAGAACTATTCATGAAAAGAAGGACTAAGGGTGACATAAAAGCAGTGTTGCAATATCTAAGGAACTGGCACAAAGAGGAGGGGGTAAATCTATTATCTGAAGGCAAAACAAGAGGCAATGGATGGAAACTAATCAAGGAGAGAATCATCGTAGAACTAAGGAGGAATTTCCTCACAACTAGAATTAATCAGCAGAATGGCTTGCTTTCAGAAGTTGTGGGTGCTCCATCACTGGAGGTTTTAAAGAAGAGATTGGACAACCATTTATCTGAAATGATACAGGGTTTCAAAGCTAGAAGTTATTGGGGTTGGATTAAAAGACCTCCAAGGTCCTTCGTACAGCTGATGAATGAACCGTAGAAGATTGAGAAAGGACAGCTTCAAGAAGCTGGTTCCTTCAAACAATATTCATACTTGGAGGTCCCAACAACCCTTCTGTACAAGAATTATTTTAGTTCATGTCTGAAAATAGCAGGAAAGGCAAATTCTCCTCAATTCACTGAAATCTAACAAAGCTGAAGTTTGAAGATCAGAGCCTGCATTCATATGAATTTTGGAAACTAACAGGAAGCCAGTTTGTCCTAGGTTAACATCATAAAGTGTCTAGTTACTATAGTCAGAATTATGACCTTTTAATTCTGCTTTGGTAATCTAATCCAGCTTTCCAACCCATCTTTTCCAACCTGGTGTTATCTGGGTGAGTTGAACTCCAATTCTTATAGTCCATTTTTGCAGATGAGCTCATTTTTACAAAGTTGGTTGGAAGGGGCTTCTTAAGATAAGACCTGCAATGCAAGATGCAATTTATGGCTAGCTTTCCTTGTTGATAAAAAAGTTCTAATCACCTTCCAAGGAAACACAAATTCATTTAAGATAGTTATGATAGTTCATCCCATTTGAAGTTGCTCCACATTTTTAGCTGAAATTTGCTTTTGCTGGGATTTTCAATATTGATTCTAATTTTGTCCCCTGGAACAAGCAGAAACTAATTTACTCATTAAATTGTGCTTTTTCAAGAGGCAACTGCACTTTCTGGTTTTTCTTTCAAGACATTTTGCTTCTCATCGAAGAAGCTTCTTTAGCTCTGACAGGACGGGGGGGGGGGAATGGAAGAGTGATTAGTCAGAAATATCTTCAAAGAAAAATGAGAAAGTCCAGTTGCCTCTTGAAAAAGCACCTTTGGGACAACTATGACCTGGATTATTGAGAATCTCCATAGAACTTTACTTAGTAGTTGTCATTATAGCTTTCCCGCCCCCTCATAATTTTAAGACTTATGGCATTTTCTCCTTTATATTCTCTTTTCTCCATAGTCTTATGTTCTGGAAGCAAGAGGTAGTATTTTGAATTAATTAGGTGTGCATCTGAAATGCCTGTTTAAGAGGACTGAATTGATGAGCTGAATTGTTTAAGACTTCATCTTCACCATAGCACATCCTCATCAACTTTTATTTTTCCCCACTTCTGTATCTAACCTTATCTTTCTGCATTTTGCCTTGTGGTTTCTTTTGTGCCATAACTATTAGCTAACTCCGTCTCTATAGTGTGTGTGTGTGTTTGTGTTTGTGTGTGTGTGTGTGTGCATTTGCTCCTTGACTGATAAATTTTTATTATTGGTTTTTCATGAAAGTCATCTGGGCTTGTATACTGCCTGACCTTTGTGGTCACTTAGTGATTACACACGCCTGCTGGGGTAATTTATTCACTTTGTTTTGGTGTGAACATATCCCAGGGGTCTTGTAACTGCTGTAATCACTTGACCCCAGTGACTGTTAAATGCTTTAAACACAGTTATTTTAAATTTATAATTATTTTCATTAAAAATCCCTTATAGTAACTTAACCGACCTTGCAATAAACCCAGCACTATAGACTGACTCAAGAACAAAATTTTTGCGATGGCTAGTGTACAATGCACATGTTTACTCATTGCCCTCAGTTGTGTATAGAAGCAGCAAGACTCTTAACTGCAGTATTGCATTTGGGTATAATTGTTGCAGATATTTAAAACTGGCCAATATACTTGCAGTTTGAAATGTAAAGATTGTTAATGTAAATTACAAGGGACTTTGAAAGGTTAACATGTTATTTAATTTCAAAGACCAGATGCTGAGGATCTTTATTAACTCCAAAGGACCGCTAAAAGTATTTTCTGTACAATTGGATTCCCGTAGTTATCTGTACCTGGGTTATCTGTAACCCATAGTTAACTATAGTTATCACGTAATCAAATAGTAAAATAAAATCATTGTTATTGGGCAGATATCTCAATGTAAAATGGATAATTTCTGCAACAAATATTTAGATAACAACTTGATTCAGGGGCTCCCCCTCAAATTGCATGTTTGTTTACTTTTTTATTTATTAAATTTACATTCTGCCATCTCACTATCCAAAGTGACTTAGGTTACCGTTCCCATTTTCTTTGCTACCATGTTATTTTGAGGATTGGCCAAAGAAGTTCATGATCTACAAGTAATATCTTCTAAAACCTCACAATTCCTCTCTTCGATTGTATCCAACTCTGTTTATTTTCCATAAACTCCTGCTGAAATTAAATATTGCCATTGCTTGTACTGTTGAGCCAGTCCAGAATTTTTTAGGTTGTTACTGTCACTCCGTAGGATATCACTTGTAGTCATTAAGATTCAAACCCAAATACTTTTGCACTACAGCTGTTTTGTGTAACCTAACAAAGAGAATGAATATGCCAAATGAAAGTACCGTACAGGTATTCCTCTTAGGATAATGCAGTAGAGGTAAACACTTCCTTAAGCCAGATGTGATTACAGATGTTTGCATTAAAATGTCCATGTAATTTTCTCAGCAATACAGAAGTAAGTTCTACGTGCTTACTCAGAGTTGCTCAAATAACAGGAAGTTTATGCAGTTATATTTTCAATTGGGGTAATACAGAATCAAGAATCAAGTTGGTTTTCATTTTCAATTTTATCCTTAAATTTGAAATTTAGATATATTAAGCATTATCTTTTATTATCTCTTCCATAATCTGGGCATACTGTAATTGTATTATAAATATTTATATGAATTCTAGTAGATGTGTGTAAACCTTTCATAAAGACTTGTAAAACTTGAGTAAATTAAGTACGATATAATGTTGTTGAGCTTGGGTATCTGGGTATGACTGATTTTATTTATTAATTAAATTAACTATTACTACTCTTTTGATTAAAATGTTCACCTTGTTTTAGTACAAATGTGTTGATGTAAACAAAGGACAAACCAACTAAAAATATATTTTAATTGGGTGTCAAAAAAATCAGGCTTGGTTGAATCTTTTTACTATTCTAAAATCTGTTTTTCCCCTCTTTAATATAGCATGTTTATTTGGATTTGAAATTAGATTCTGTAACTACAGTATATTTAATGGGATTTATTATGTGACTAAAGGAAGGAAATGAAATGTATACAGGT